TCTAATTACAATCTGTCACCATATAGTTATTACTGTATTATTGACTCTATTCCTGATGCTGGATGGTACAATCACATGACTTATTTATTTTATAACTGGAAGTTATAAATCCACTTCCCCTATTTCATCCCCCCAACCTCTGGCCCCTTTGGTAGCCAATAGTTTGTTTTTTGTATCTACAAGTCTGTTTCTGCTTTGTTTGTTTGATGCCTTGCTTTTTAGATTCCACATTTATTCTCTGTATAACTTTAGCATAATGCCATTCAGTTCCTTTCATGTTTTTGCAAAAGTCAAGATCTTATTCATTTTATGGCTGAATACTATTCTATATATACCACAACTTCTTTATCCATTCATCTATTGATGGGCACTTATTTTTTTTAAATATTTTATTTATTTCTGAGAGAGAGAGACAGCGTGAGCAGGAGAGGGTCAGAGAGAGAGGGAGACACAGAATCCAAAACAGCCTCCAGGCTCTGAGCTGGCCGTCAGCAAAGATCCCGACACGGGGCTTGAACCCACGAACCATGAGATCATGACCTGAGCCAAAGTCAGATGCTCAACTGACTGAGCCACCCAGGCACCCCTATTGATGGGCACTTAAACTGCTTCTGTATTTTGGCTATTGTAAATAGTGCTTCAGTGAACATAGGGATGAATGTATCTCTTTGAATTGACATTTTCATTTTTTTGGGGGGGTGGTAGTACCCTGAAGTAGAATTCCTGGATTTTATGGTAGTTCTATATTGAATTTTTAAAGAAGCCTTCATACTGTTTTCATTCCCTTTTCTCCATATCCTTATCAACATTAGTTTTAGTTTTTTTGTCTTGTGTTTTTTTTTTGTTTGTTTTTCATAATAGCCAGTTAGACAGGTGTGAGGTAATACCTCACTGTGGTTTTGATTTGCACTTCCCTGATCATTAGTGATGTTAAACATCATTTCATGTGTCTGTTAGCCATCTGTATGTCTTCTTTGGAAAAATTTCTATTTAAGTCCACTTCTCATGTTTTAATTGTTTTTTTTTTTTTCTTTATGAAGTTGCATAAGTTCATTGCTTATTTTGGATATTAACCCCTTATCATATATGTAATTTGCAAATATCTTCTCTGTTGTCATTCCATTTTGTTGATGGTTTTCTTTTCTGTGCAAAATATTTTTAATTTGATATATTCCCATTTGTTGTTTTAACTGTTGTTATTCTTGCCTAAGAAACTGATCCACAAAGTATTGCTAAGACCAGTGACAAAGATCTTACTGCCTTTCCTTTTTCTTGGGATTTTATGATTTCAGATGTCATATACAAAGATGTTAATCCATTTTAATACAGTTTTGTATATGGTTTAAGATAGTGGTCTAGGTTCATTGTTTTTTGTGTAACTGTCCAGTTTTCCTGACATAATTTATTGAAGAAACTATCTTTTCCTCATTGCTTGTTTTTGACTGTTTTACCACAGATTAATTGACCATATATGCAGGGATTTATTTCTGAACTACATGTCTGTTTTTAATGCCTGTACCATGATGTTTTGATTGCCGTAGCTTTATAGTGTAGTTTGAAACCAGAGAATATGATTGATACCTCCACTTTGTTTTTGCTTCCCCCCCCCGCCCAATATTGCTTTGGCTATTGTGAATCTTTTGAGATTCTTTACAAACTTTAGGATTTCTTATTCTAGTTCTGTGAAAAATACCATTGGTATTTTGATGGTTGCATTGAATTTGTCGATTGCTTTGGGTAGCATGGACATTTTAACAATATTAATCCTTTCAATCCATGAACATGGTATATCTTTCTATTTATTTTCATCTTCTTCACTTTCTTTCATAAGTGTCTTAAAGTTTTGAGAGTACAGGTCTTCCGTCTCCCTGGTTAAATTTATTCTTAGACATTTTATTATTTTGATGCAGTTGTAAATAAGATCTTTTTCTTATTATTTTTCTTTCTTTCTGATAGCTGATTTTCAGTATATAGAAACACAACCAAATTCTGTATGTTAATTTGGTATCCTGCAACTTTACTGAATACATTTATTAGTTCCAGTAGTTTTTTGGTGGAGTCTTTAGATTCTCCTATCTATGGTATCATGTCATCTACAAATAGTGACAATTTTACTTCTTCCTTTCCAATTTGAATGCCTTTTATTTATTTATCTTGCCTAATTTCGGTGACTATGACTTCCAATACTATGTTGAATTAAAGTGGCGACCTTGAGCATTTTTGTCTTTTGCCTGATCTTAAAGGAAAATCTGTCAGCTTTTCACCAGAACTATTTTAATTATACTTATTTTTTTTTTCCTTTTTAACCTCCTATTTTATATTCCTCACACTACCTTAAGTACTTTTAGGAATGGGCCAATTATAATATTCTTCCCTGTTATACAGTAATGTGTCTGTTTTGACATTATTGGCATGTCCTGGTAGGAAACAGGTGACCCATTCAAATGGGGCAACTGGGGAAAATTAATGAAGGGCGTATTTACAAAAGACTGGAAAGGATTACTTAAGCTGACATGGGATTGTTCAGTACAGGGAGTAATGATGTTTAGAAGTTTGAAATTTGATAGAAGTAGGAACAGTTAGTAGGACTAAAGCTTTATGAGAGGGCCACTCCACAGAAACCATGCCTTTTGTTTGGTGTAGAGAACCAGTTGAGGTGATCCAGAAGCTAAAATCTGGTGGAATAATTTCCCTAATCTTTCTCTCCTCTTATCATCTTTTTTCTTACATTGTGTGTCCCATCCATCTGTTGGCCAAACCCAACCAGAAACCAATGGACAAGGGAGGCACTGATACAGTCCTTCCATGATCAGTTTCCTGAGTAGATGGCATATAAAGCAGGGGGATAGATCTGTAAGTAGATTGAAAAGATCCTATACATCTGCTTAACTTATATTTCATGATAATGAAATGTACAAGTATATTGGTTTCTCTTCTTTCAAAAATCTCATTAAAATAACAGAAATGAATTGTAAAATCCTTAATCCCTTGTTTAAAAACATAATAAGGGAGAAGACCATCAGTGGATGAGAGATCTAAATGCATTTATGAAAAATCTAATAGACAAAGACTAAAGATCAGAGAAATTGATGATGCAGCACAGGAAGCCATGTCATAACTTAGCAGGAATGTGGGTGGCAAGAAAAGAGGAAGATTGTTTACCCACGAAGACCCTTTAGAACCATGGTGGCTGGTCTCATAGAGGATAGAAGAAGTGAGAAGTGGGACTGGAAAAAAAAAATGTTTTTTTAAAGGCCTTAAATAAGCATTAGAGACATAAAAATAGTGATACAATTATAAAAAATTGAAAGGTGGTACAAAGTAAACTCCCATCAATTATAGCAGAAAGTCAGTAAGTGATGACTAAAATTAATGAATGAAGAAGCAATGGCATAAGCTTATTATTTATAGATTTGGAAGTAGCCACAGATGAACTAAATAAAGAGAGTTCCAAGTCTTCTGGAAGGAGGACAGGGAATTGGTTGTGGTCAGTTGTTTCTCACTGTAAGTCTTCGTACTAATGATTTTTTTTTAAAACCACGTGAATATACAGTTTTAATGAAAGCTCCTCCCCCATCGCCTCCTTTTGTCACACCTACTTAGTTTACTGACTTTCTAAAAATTTTCTTCTTAACATGGTTAAGTCCATCCCAAACCTACCAGTTAATTCCATTTTCTCCTACACCACCCTTTCTCTCATTCTTTGTAACCCCCCAGCATGTGCACATGCACAATCCAAAATGCACATTTTCCATCTGAATGCTGCTACATGTCTTTCCCTATGAATTCCATGCACCCCTTTATGTCTCAGGAGTGCCTTTTCTCAGGCTTTCCTTGGCTTAAACTGACTTCAGCATTTTGTTTTTCTATTGAGATTTTAAGTCGCAGAATAAAATTGCCTCCTCCAGGAGCTGTCTGCTTTCTAGAGACAAAAATGATTATTCTTTCTTCATACTCTCCTGCACTGTACACTGTTGACACTTCTCACTCTACTGATGTCTTAAACTTGTATTTCTAACTGCTCCCTTGTCTTTCTGTGTAAGTTCAAGAATCTGAATCTTTATATCCAGTGCATATTTTGCCCCTAGTAATTGAAATGGTTGCTAACCATTGTAACTGTAATTGATTTTTGTTGCTGTCATTGATCCAAAGGCATCTAAAGATTATGAGATGAGTGCCCCAGCACATTAAAGTGAACAGTGGCTGTCTTTATTGAGATGCCTATTAATACCTCTGCTTTTCAGCCAAACCAGGAAGTAGACAATATTTTTTTCTGTCACAATTTTAGTGCCTTTTCCCTAAATTCCAATTATATCCATATTGTCTCAGGTTATGATGAATGAGAGATAGTATAAGAAACTAATACCCATAATTAAATAAATTACTAATGTATTAATTTTAATGAGTATTTGCATTGTAAAAAGTCGCCTACAGAGGGAAATGCCTTTCTAGAGAAAATGATTTGCTCATAGTAAAACTGTAGGCCCCTTGAGCTATTGTTTTGAGATCAAAGATGTTTTCTGGGGTTTCTCCGATTATGTCATGTAATTCTTATGCCATAGGTAATATAAATTCTGATTAATTTAAAATATATTAAGACAGTTGGGAAACACCCTTTGCATATTAGAACACATAGATTTGAAATCACGATTATTGAGTATTAACTGCCTATCCCCTGGGAGTTAGAATTGGTATAATATTAAGTATTAATCCCTGGTCTTTCCTTGTTATTCTCATTCCCCAAGTAGTCTTACCACATGTTCTTACTTCACCTCCTTCTTTCTTTGTTTCTTTAATCCTTTTTCCTCTCCTCTCCTCTCCTCTCCTCTCCTCTCCTCTCCTCTCCTCTCCTCTCCTCTCCTCTCTCTCCTCTCCTCTCCTCTCCTCTCCTCTCCTTTCCTGCCTGCTTGCCTGCCTCTCTGTCTGCCTGCTATTAACCCTGAGTTTTCCCTTACATCCACATAAAAGGGCACTATAATTTTATTTTTCCTTTACTTTAGGAAATGCCACAGTAAAACAGTCTCGATACAGGATTATCATCCAGGAAGCAGCCAACGGAGGCCAAGAATGCCCAGATACCTTATTTGAAGAGCGAGAGTGTGAAGATATTTCACTGTGCCCTGTATATCGGTAATTAGTTACCTTTTTAAATAATCATTAGATTTTAGTATAAATCATGACTTATTTTCATTCGTAAGTTTATGATTTTTTAGTGAGGAAAAAAGATAAGGTAATATTTATTTTTAACACCTCAATATTTCCCCCTCTGATTTTGAATATATTTTGAGGCAATAAAGGATAAGAAAGCATAATTAACAGAAAAAAAAGAAACAAACATGTTTTGATTTTAAGTGAGCTGCTGGAGTTCTGCCACTCAGGCAATCAATTTTAAGGATTAGGATCCAAAGAAATTCAGGATAAAGACTTTACCTGAAAAACAAACACACACGTAATTCACCTCATTCTATTGTTTCCATCCTAAAGCCTTTAATGAAGAACTAGGAGCAAAAATCCACTTTTAAATTATTTATTTTTATTTAAAAGAATTTGGTTCTTAATTTTTGCCATATATACATTATAATAAACTACTTAGAGAAAATAAAAAGTTTAACCTATGGATAAAATATCAAAAAAAAAAAAAAAAGAAGAGAAAAGAAAAGAAAATGGGCACCTAGGTGTCTCAGTCAATTAAGCATCTGACTTCAGTTCAGGTCATAATCGCATGGTTCCTAAGTTTGAGCCTTGCCTCGGGCTCTGTGCTGGCAGCTGAGAGCCTGGAGCCTGCTTCAGATTCTGTGTCTCCTTCTCTCTGCCCCCTCCCCGCTTGCACTCTGTCTGTCTCTCAATCTCTCTCTCTCTCTAAAAAATAAATAAAATGTTAAAAAATATAATAAAAAAAGAAAATGACTTTTAAAATACATGTGCTACTTATATATTTCCTCTTGACAAGCTGGGGGCTATTATTTATAATAGCAATGCCTGAGGATTGTGTGTTTAGTCATTAATATCCATCCTTTTAATGTTGGATTGAAGCATTGCTTTAAAGTACAGCTGGATTAAATTCACTCACTGTTGAGTTTTACTTATGTGTGAAGAAAAAAATTATTGTCTTAAAAGTCATATGGTTATCAATACACTTAAAAATGTCTTTAGCAAAAATGCCTAGTGTTTTTCCTGATTATTTGAGAAACTATATCTTAAAGATATGAAATTCAAGGTCTAATTTACTCAGGAGATTACAAGGTTTTTGTTTTTGTTTTTTTCTTCTTTCTCTCTCTTTCTCTTTTTAAAGTTTATTTATTTATTTTGAGAAAGAGAAGGCATGAGCAGTGGGAGGAGAGAGGGGACAGGGAGAAAATGAGAGAGAGAATCCCAAGCAGGCTCCATGCTGTCAGTACAGAGCCCGATATGGGACTCTATCTTGCAAACCATGACATCATGACATGAGCTGAAATCAAGAGTCTGAGGCGTAACCTGCTGAGATAAAGTTAGAGTGTCATTGATTGAAGTGTCTAAATTACTATCAGCTCTATAATCCTTTATTCTTATTGTTTCTATCTAGTGGCCAGTTTAAGGAGGATGTGAATAAACACTGGGAACATGCCCAGACTACCAGTTGCTTCCTTAGCCACAGGGCTGCTGTGGAAACACTGTCAATCTTCATCCCTTTATACTATATATAAATATTGAAATTTCTGAGCCCACGGAAAGAGCTCTTGGGGGAGGTAGCCAATTGAAAAAATTAGCCAAATAAAGCATTATTAGAAGTTTTTATAATCCCAGGTCTATTATAATCAGAGAAAATCCTAGAAGCTATTAGTGAGCTTTTCCTCTCTATTGTCCACTCTGTTTCTCTGGTTGCACTTCATTTTAGCCACTCATGTTTGAACTCGTTTCCATCATTGACCTCCTGCCATTTTACCCAGAAACCAGTTTTGCTGTGTCTGGATTGGATCATTGTATCATTTCTCCTGATGCTGAGGTTACTATGTGTACAAGTTATCAGTAGGATTCTATACTCTTCAAAAACAGACAAACAAACTTTAATTTTGAGCAGTACTCCAGTTAATTTTTGTATCCCTCCTCATTGGTATGTTAGGGAGCCAATTTAACACAGACCTTTACCATTATCTTTTGATTCTTCTTTTTTACTCCATTAAGGTAACATATTCACATGTTTACCAAGTTAAAACAGAATCAAAATGTCTATAGAAATTTTTCTGTGAATTTGAACATCTCTAACACATTAAGTTACTAAGCAAAAGGGAATAACATGGTGATGTATCCTTACATAGAATTAACTGTGGAGTCATGAGTCTATGGCTAAAGCATCCCGGGATCTAGGAGGGATAACTGGCCTACTGAGTTGTGAAATTTGAAACATTTCACTTAACCTTTATGAGGCCAAGTTTGTCATAGCAAAACTGAGTTTAACAAAAGAATCCTGAAAATTCCTTCTATTTCAGTTTACACAGCATACTTAACTGGACTGAACTCCATGGTCTCATTTCGATCTAGAAAGTCTTACTAAACTTAAGGGATCTGAATGAATGATACAACCTAGTTGAAAAATTTCACTGAAACCCCTTGCCATTTCAGTTTCTGTGTTTTAGAATTATACTAAATGAGTCTATGCATATGCGAAGTAAATTTACAACTATTTAAAATTAAAGAGTGATTTCTTTAAATGCTAAATTTTTCTGTCTAGCTGTTTCTTAATTTCTCTCCAATCCCTCAACTATTGCCAGTATGAAGGCCACTTGAGTGAGGTCAATGATTTTATACATGCATGCATGTACGCGTGTGCACACACACACATATACAATATATATTATATATATACATATATCTTACACAGATATATATATATATAATATATATGTTACATACATGCAAAATTATTGACAAGTTTTATAATGTAATACATATTATAATTATAATGTAATACATTATAAAATACCAGTTTTATAATGTAACATATATGTAATATTATTGACCATATCTAGAAGATCTCTAGAATTTTTTCATCTTGCAAAACTGGTCAATAATATTTTTATTTCATGTTTCTGTTTCATTTTTTTGAAGTAATATCTATTATCAGAGGTATTGGCATATAATAAAGTGTCAGCATATACTAAGGAAGGAGCAGATGTGCGGTTACACTTAGAATTTGGGTTCTTGGATACATTCTGAAGAGACAGGTTTAAGGACCCAAGTCAGGCTGTCCTGAGGGGCATAAAAATAGAAAGTCTTGTTGACTTGAGAAAGGAAAACAGTGGGAAACCACAAGCCTTCCTTAGAGAATATTTCCTTTGAAGAATAGAAATATTGATAATTCATCAAAAGTGGATCCATTCCTCTTCCCTGAAATGACCTATCATATAAGATAGGTCCCTTTGGTTCCTCACCTCCCTACTGAGATGGCTGAATCACTTTACAGTTTTAGAAAAGTTGTTGAAGCAGATCAGGTTTTGCACCCCAAACTCTCAGATGTTCAAACCTTGATACGATGGGACATAGGGATGTTCTCTCTCTCCCTCTCTCTCTCTCTCTCTGCCTCCTTCTTCCCCTCCTCCTCCTCCTCTTCCTCCTCCTGCTGCTGTTGCTGCTGCTGCTGCTGCTTCTCCTCCTCCTCCTCCTCCTCCTCTTCCTCCTCTTCCTCTTTCTTCTTCTTCATCTCCTCTTCCTCCTCCTCCTCCTCCACCTCCTTTTTCATGTGATTTTAAGTTGAAAAGGAGGGTAAGCCTTTTAGATTTTATCTGTGCCTTTAAGGATATTTATTGCCACTTTGGTGTATGGACTACAGCTTATATGGGAAATGTCCGCATTTAACAAAAATGGAAATACTGCATGAACCATGAATCTGGGAGAGTGGACTCTTGTCCTCCCTATTACATGCCAGAGTTCCATTTTATCACATTGGTTTTCAATACATTTTTATTGAACCACTGTTTTTGTGCTTTTGGATTTCAAATTCATTTATTTTTGTATTTCTTTTGTATGTTTGTCATGGTGAAATTTTTCGTCCACTGTTCTTTGTAATCACAGGTGGAAGCCACAGAAATGGAGCCCTTGTATCTTGGTGCCAGAGTCTGTCAGGCAGGGGGTAATGGGCACCAGTGAGGCCTGTGGAAAGGGGATACAGACAAGAGGTAAGGGAATTTTAAAGTTTTTCCTGTTAAGATGTAATTTAAAATTTTGTTTTTCTCATAGACCATTATTTTATTTTTGAATAATTATGATATTATTGGATTACATTATTTATATTTATCAGTATTTGAGTTTAAGTTTGGCATTATTGTTGATCTTATACTATCTTTTAACTACAACCAGCTCGTGTATCTGCGGGTTAGTGCAATGTAAGCGAGTATCTGTTTGTAGTCATTTGCATATCCCAACGCTGATGTTCCAGACACACGCTGGACATTATCCAAGGAATGAAGAATATGTCTATGATTAGACCCAACAGCATACATTGCACTTTTTAGGTGCTAATTTAATATTTCTTAAATGAATTATGGGTAACTGAATCAATTGACTAATCTTAATAAGCATGACTTGAATGTAATTGTTATATACATACTTACTCTATGTTCTAATATCACATACATAGAAAGGAGCTCTCTAAATTCCCAGAAGGTAGTGCAAATAAGCTTCTGGATTGAAATAGAAGTGCTTTTAATCATCAGTGCCAAGATGTGGCATATTGAAATCTCTGAAATGCACTTGGAGACTCATCAGGCTGCTCACTTTTCTGTTTCATTCATAATCCAGGTACCAGTCAAATGACTCTTGGTAAGAAGTGCTTTATTCTTAATATCTAATGACTCTGTTGCTAAAGGGATATATATAGCAAAATCAGACCTTGTGGAATAAACTGCATTATGCCAGTTTTATAATTTTTCTAAAACCATATTTAGAACTAAGTGTCTTTTCCAGTTGTGTAAGTTATTGTATTGGTTAGGATCAGTCATTGCAACCTGCACAATAACTCCCTGCTTTGTTTGTTGATTCAGAGCTGTGAGGAGTCTACCATGCCTGAGTGGCAACCTTAACTTCCAGGTCAATGGAAGTTATTGTGTCTCCTAGTGGAAGGACTGCTTCCTTTGGAACAAAGACCTACAGGGCAGCAGAACATAAGATTGCAAGAGACAGGAAGCAAACGTTTTACTAGTGAGTCACCAGGGTTAATAGTGAGTTGTGCCACTCCCATTCATCCCTTCCCTTTGATTCCTGCCTATGGGAGAGACAGTATCAAAAATTGGGTGCTTGGGGCCACTGGGTGGCTCAGTCGGTTGAGTGTCCGACTTCGGCTCAGGTCATGATCTCACAGTTTGTGGGTTTGAGACCCACGTCGGGCTCTGTGCTGACAGCTAGCTCGGAGCCTGGAGCCTGTTTCAGATTCTGTGTCTCCCCCTCTCTCTGGCCCTCCTCTGCTCATGCTGCCCCCCCCCCCGAAATAAGTAAAACATTAAAAACAAACTGGGTGCTTTCAGAGCATATACAGCCTTCTGTAAAACCTTGTCTCAGCCCTGCAAGTTGTTGCTACCTAACTGGTATTATAACTGAGTCTTCAAAAGACCTTTCCACCATTCTATCAAGCCAGCTGCTTCAGGACTGTGTGGGAGATGATATGATTAGTGAATTCCATGAGAATGGGCCCATTGCAATACTCTCTGTGCTGTGAATTGAGTTCCTTGATCAGAAGCAATACTGTGTGGAATTGGATAAGATAGACTGTAAATCCATGGATAGTAGTTTTGGCAGAATTATTGTTTGCAGGGAAGGAAAATGTATATCCAGGATAAATATCTGTTCCAGTAGGAACAAAACACTTCCCCTTCAATGATGCAACTGGTCCAGTGTAATCAACCTGCCCCAATGTAGCTGGCTCATCACTCTGGGGAGTGGCGCCATATTGGGCATTTAGTGTTGGTCTCTTCTGCTGTCATATTGGGCACTCAGTGATGTCCATAGTCAGATTGACATTGGTGAGTGGAAGTCCATGTTGTTGAGCCTGTGAATAACCCCATTTCCTGCCACCATGACTACTTGGTTCATGAACCTATTTGATGATAAGAGGAGTAACTGGGAAAAGGGATAACTGAGGTGACTGGTACCCATAGAACAGACATCCTATCCATTTAATTATTAAATATTCCTTTGCTGAAGTCACCCTTTGGTAAGCAATCTTATGGAACTCAAATATCTTCACATTTTCCCCAATAAAGAGAAGTCTATCTACCTCCTCCTCATGTTTCTTTATCATCAACTTTCCAATCATGTTACTTCACAGACCCTGACCATACAGCAAAACCACTGGCCACAGTCCTTGAATCTGTATATAATCACATATCTGGCGGTTTCTCCTTCCAAGCAAAATAGATAACCAAGTATACTGGTTTTATCTTCTATCCGCTGGAAAGAGGATACCTCTCTTTTCAGGGGTATCCAAGAATGGGGTATAGTGCTATAGCTGTCCATTTTTGGGTTGTGCCTGTATATTGTGCAGAACTATCTGTAGACAAGGCTAGAGTCTTTTCTTCTTATGTCAACTGATTGTAGGGAACTCTCCATGAGGCCATAGGTGCAAGTTTGGAGAGAGCAGGTAGTGTAGCAGAACTGGGGACCATAGACATTTGCCTACTTATTCAAGTAACACACTTGTGCCTTCAGGGCCTTCATGGGCCCAGATATCTATATACCACTTATATTTGATGATACCTTACAATGTGGCTTGGTGGATTAGTTAACACCCAGTTCATGATGGGCAGCTTGAGTTGCATGATAAGTTGGTGGTCCATGTTTAAGCCTTCATTCTCTAGTAAGACACAGTATCAGGCAAGGAAGTGTTTTATTTAAAAAAAAAAAAAAAAGTTAACTGTAGAAAATAACAGAGCTTTGCTTCAAAATCCTAAGGACCTATCCTCTGATTCACTTATAGAGGCCTGCTAAAGGCTGCAAACAGTGTTCCTGTCTGTTGCTGATACTTCAGTGGCATTGAATTTGCTGGATCATGTGGCCCAACTGGCAGAACAGTATTCAGAGCAACCTAGACTACTATAGAGATTTTTCTTATTCTGGGATCCACTCAAAACTAGCAGCTTTGTGAGTGTCTTGGTAAATAGGTGAGACTAACACACTCAGATAAGGAATATGTTGCCTCCAAAATCCAAAGGGGCCCACTAGTGTTGTGCCTAGTTTTGGTTGAAGGAGGGGCCAGAAGCAAAAGCTCATTCTTCACCATAGAAAGGATATCTTGATATAGCCCACACTGGACCTCTAGGAATTTCCCTGAGATAGAAGGCCCCTGAGTGTTTTCACATTCATTTCTTAGACACTGATGTGAAAACGTCTTACCAAAATATCTAGTTGCCACTTCTTACTCACTAGATCCATTCAGAATAATGTAATCAGTGTAATGGACTAGTGTGCTATCTTGTAGAAGAAAAAGACAGTAAGGATGCACATAAACTAAATTATGAAATAAGGCTGGAGAGTCAATACACCCCTAAGGTAGGACAGTAAAGGCATGTTGCTGGCCTTGCCACCTAAAAGCAAACTCTTTCTGGTGGTTTTTATTATTTTCAATTATAGTAATATTTGGAGTTGGGGCTTTAACAAAGAAATTTGGGGGCACATCAGTTTATGACAATTACACATTGGAAATAATGTCTAAGAACATTTTTGCATGTGAGTTTGATTGGCAAGGTAATTTTATTCAGGACTGCTATGAGACTATATAGTGACTGTGTAAATTAAGGGATAGGAGTACCTCCTTAAAACATTTTATTATATGTTAGAAAATTGTTGTAATAATATAATCTTTTAATTATAAGACCTTTGCCTACTTTCTGCTGGAAAATTGCTATAACATATCTAGATAAGCAATACGCAAATGAGTGGTTCTTTAAAAATGGTACTTTTGTGTGGTGTCCAACTTAACTCTATATGGTGGCCTAGACTTTGACACTTTGATACAAGGGTATCATAATGATTGGTTTTCATTGCAAAACCATTTAGTAATTTCTAAAGAAAAGGTTCTCCTAAATTATATAGAAACTTATCACATAAATGGCAAATATTTTATCTATCTTAGAATAATTCTATTCTGGGTTTCAATTTAAATGGATTCTTGCTGGTGACCTGATTGTCCCTTAGACTAGGCAAGTGACCAACTTGAGTTTTCTCTAAATTTGACACCAATATTAGAAAATGTCTAGTGTTTATTTGTTGGAAATTTTGTACTTTTAAAGCAGTGGGCTGGGTCTCCAATTTTAAGATAGTGAAGGAAAGAAATTTCTACTCCAACTTTTCTCTATAATCACTTCAAAACCAGCAAGGATGACATGAAACAATAATACAAAATTAATCTCTATCAGATCTCTTATAAAATTACTCCAGAGAGCAGGAAGCACAAAAACTCACCTTCAAGTAAATGAGGAGATATCTGTAACCTCAATCACAATATATGATTTAGACAGTGAATGGAGGGGCCCCTGGGTGGCTCAGTTGGTTAAGCATCCATCTTTGGCTCAGGTCATGAGCTCGCACATGAGTTCGAGCCCTACATCAGGCTCTGTGCTGACAGCTCAGAGACTGGAAGCTGCTTTGGATTCTGTCTGTCTGTCTGTCTCTCTCTCTCTTCTCCCCTCTCCCCTGCCTCGCCCACTTATACCTTGTCTCTCTATATCTCTCAAAAATAAACATTAAAAAATGAAAAAAAAAAAGTGAATGGAGATATGGTAGTTTGCAGAACAAGATTATGCCTAAGTTTCTCAGGGGTGAAGGTGTGGGGGGTGAAGGGAAACAGTGATTTGCCCTGGAGAACTCTAGAAAAGTACCATATCCTGCAGAAGGAAGTATGCAAGTGTGTGTGTGTGTGTGTGTGTGTGTGTGTGTGTTGAGGGTGGGAGAAAAACACAGGTGCTTTTGAAAGTCTGATTTAAGAGCAGTGAGCAATGTCCCACTCTTCCTATTCTTTTGGGAGCTTGAAGGTTTATTCTCTGAAGATATAAAACCAGATGAATTGTATACTTTGGACAACAGGCAGAGGAGAGTAGAGATGAAGGCCTAGCCTCAAATCAGAAGAATCAAAAGGAAGTTCAAACAACAAATTGAGACCCTTAGTTCCCTGCTTTTACCTCCAGCC